ATAATTATGAGTGAACATTTAAAAGATTAACCATTTAAAACATGAGTATTGCTATCGATTCGCATGGAATACGAACTCCATGTGAGGTGATATTTATGGAAAGTCCAATAAAGTGAGTTATGTTCACACATTTAGTTTATTTCATGCTCCATCAATTTTCATGTCACGTCTGGATGGCCTTTATTATGGACATGTAGATTATTTTTGAAATGGGTTGTGCTGTATATACAGGGGAAGAGGTTCCCCTCTAAAACACACACAATAGGAGGTGAATAGGGTTCTTTTTGCAATTTCTATTTACAAGTTTCGCCAGACTAAATCCTGGATCTCTAGCCACCGGTCCCTCACTGACTCGAGGAGGTAAATCGCAGGTTATGCTCTTATTGACTCCCAGGTTCCCACTTGGTTTATACTCCTGGCCCAAGAGAATCCTCCTTACCGCATTGATCAGAAATCGAACTCTCCACGCTGAGATTGCAAGCCCGCCATATTGATTGTTCCACCAACTCGGATGTGCCCTGAGGGGCATATGGAGCTCACTCTTGTAAGTATTCTAGAGGGATTATGTGAACCCCTTTCGTGTACACAAGACTAATTGTTTTGAAATAAAGAGTTTATGAAATTAATAACGAGCATGTAAAAATATTTCAAAAAATCATCATTTAATTAGATATAAAGTCATGGTCAAAATATTGTTGAATAGAAAGTTCTTCATGCACTAAATTTAATGGATTATTAGCACACAACATTCGTCCGTTTGAAATTCATTGTGCAAAACATCCATATATATATATATATATATATATATATTCTTCATGCACTAAATTTAATGGATTATTAGCACACAACATTCGTCCGTTTGAAGTTCATTGTGCAAAACATCCATATATATATATATATTACCTTTCATTGTGAAAATCATTCTTTTCATTAATTTTCATCCAATTTCTCAAAATAATTGTGAGATGACAAAGGTACCATTCTATTTATATAAAATAAAATGAAAAGAAAAGAAAAAACAAAGACTAATTGCAATCATACTCTCAATTTTTAATAACGTGCAAGCGAATCCTAAATAAATTATTAAAATTATGGTTCGATTATATGTTTGCCTTCGACTGGTGGTGGTGATAGGTGCGAAAGTATACTTCAATTCTTGTACAGTTTCAATTGTATGTTGGGTGAAGGTCGAACTTAAACTGTACGTTGGTTTTGGATTCAACTATATGTTTGCCTTCGAAGTTCGATCTACACTTCATCCGGTCAAGATGAGGATGGTACAGATTTCACGTTTTACTTTGACATTGAGCATCTGAAGGATTCGACTCCAGTGGAGGCAAGAGAAAGATGGGTTGACTCTTCATCTTGTGGAAAATTGTAGAATTATGCCAATGGAACTAGCTGGAGTGGACGATCCTTTAATTATGAGGAAGTTTGGGACCGTGGAGCCGGATAATTACGGGTATAAAGGCTTTTCTGGTTACTTTGCAAGAAAAAATTGAAGCAGGAAGGAACCTGTATGTCTCAACAAAAATATATATTTTGGTGCTTAATGTTTGATAATTGTGAATTTGTGAGCGTTATAATATTTGGCTTCTTGCTCTAATTTTTAAGGTTTTAGGGCAAGAAAGTGATGGAGTTTCTTGGTCTATTATCATGGTGGTGGTCGTCGTGGGTGTGAGTAGAGGCGGTGCCCTATAAGCAAAAACCGTCAAACCGGAAAATAGAACCTAAATCGCATTCTAGAAATCATCAGTTCAGTGCCACATGAACCCGGTCAACGAAATTGTTTTGAACTAAATCAAACTGGTCAAAGTGGTTTGGTTTATGTTTGAGATAACCAAATCGAACCGACAAAAAAAATAAAAAAATAAAAAAATGAAATTTTTTGAAAATTCATCCAAATATGTAAAATTCAATAGTTTTGTCATTTGTGGGTACTTTTGTCAATTTCTAATTTTCTAATACAGATATATTATTATTATTATCCAATAATCCTAAATTATATCTAATAATTTTAAGACTAACATAATATATGAAAATCAATTTTTCTCTTCAGAATTTAGATGAATTTCAGCCGACACCCAACACAATTTTGAGCCATTGGCACCACACACTTCTTTTTCCAATTTTTTAGGTCTCTTCAAAGTTGAATTGAAGTTCATTATACCAAATTGGAGACAAAGAGATCCTAAACCTTTGGTGATAATATTTGCTACAAATAAAGTTTTAGATCAATAATTTTTTTGGAGCAAATTAAGGTAAGAATCTAAAATTAAATGTGTTTCGTTACATCATAGAAACGTAAACTTGTGTAATTGTTATATTTAGATATTATAAACAATTACTTTATTATTATAGTTGGTTATTCTCTTTGTCTAATCAGTATCCTTTTTTAAGATATGATGATCACGAGATTTTGTTGGATATCATTATATTTTTTGGGCATTATATCTAGTTTAGTAGACTTGTATTGTAATATTATTGTATCGTCGTTAGCATAAAAAGGTGAATAAAAATTTAAAAAACTATGTTTTAGTTTATTGTGATTTCACTTTGATTTAATTCGTATTTAAATTTATAGTAGATATATTTAGCCCCTATTTGAGCCATATTTACCATATCATCATAATGAGAAAATTGATCGTTGGAGAGGAGACTGGGTCCCACGCATGAAACAGCAGGTCAATAAAGGCTGTTAGACTTGTGGAATAACGGTCCAAATTTTCATTTTTTTGTTCGAAAATTTTGGTTCAAACAAAGGCTTAGTTTGTTTTAGATTTATTGATAGTAAGATATAAATATATATTGAATTAATGACATAAAAGTAGACATGCAAAAAAATATATGTCGAAACCGACAGTTTAAAATTGGACCAAACCGTTAGTTTAGATTTGAGTTTTTTTTTTCAAACTGTTCAAAATAGTTTCGTTTATATTTGAATTTTTTAAAATCGATTTTAACGGTTTGGTTTGAAAATATGTCTAAAATCAGACCACTTACACCCCTAGGCGGTGGTGGTAGAGATGTCAAACGGGCTGAGTGACTTGTCGGCTCGGCCGCTCAGCTCGTCAATTTTTAATTTTTTAATAATTTATTTGGCCCTTTCTTTTCCCTCACTTAGTTTTTTTAATAATTTATTTGGGATTCAAATGCACTTTAAAATATTAAAATTAAAAATAAAAAGTGGAGGTATGATTATAATCAGTTCTTTTTTCTTTTCTTTTTTATTTTATTTATATGGGAGAGTATATTGATCATTTTTTTTTATTAAGAAATTAGATAAAATGAGAAAATGATGATTTTCGCAATAAAAAATGGAATGGTGAAAATGTAAAAAATAAAAAAAATGTAGCAACGTTGTGCACAATAAATTCCAAATGTAGAATATTTTGAGCTAATAATTTTAAATTTAATCTTAGTCATGTTTGGTTTAAATAAAAATTAGATTTTTAATATGTTTTGATAAAAATTGATAAAATTGTGGTTGAATAAACTCGAAATTGTATTTTAGTGCAATTAGGTGCACGACTTCTTGCAAATCTTTTTTCGTTTAAAACAGTTGCTAGACATGCAAATCCTCATTATCGAGAACCACACATGAGGAGTTAGAGGACGGTCCACTCGATCTAACCCCCGAGGTCCCACCCCACTCATGTCTCTGCTGGAATAAAGCAATCAACTTCTCATTTGTAAAAGTATTTGCATTTTCATTCTCGTTGTCATGAGCTGCGGAGGGAATTCTGTATGTAACTGTTTCTGAAATAACCACATCATCTTCACGAGCTATCTCCACCGTATCCTAAAAATCATTAGTTTTGTGATCCCCACCTCCCGAGTCTACTTGTTCATCTTCGACGATATCCTTCCTTACTAAAGTCACGCAAAGAGGAGTCGTGTGCTTATTGTTCAATTCAATTAGATAATTCACTTCATCAACAGAAGAAATCATTATAGGTGGAATCGGAACTGATGCATGCTCGTTGAATTTAAATTTCAATTCCATGTTGTACCGAGAAGGATCAACATTCAACTTGTTTTGTAAATCATTATAGAGTTCTGCATACGATGTGCCTGATGATATGGAAATTGCGATACCATCATGTTTAGCACTTGTCCATTTTCATACTCATTGATCTCTTTTGTCGAATTCGAAATCACCAAAATAACAAACTAGGACTACAACCATATTTGCATGTCGAAACAAAATTTTTAATTACAAGAAAAATATCAACGACAATAAAAATAACTCAAAAAGGGGAAAAAAAAGAAAATAGTTGACAAACAGCCGGTTAAACAGCCGACTGTTAAATAGTAGATTGTTTAACAGCCGGTCAAACAGACGAATCACTGGCACGCACCGGGCTGTTATCGCTCAACACTCGTCCGGCAAAGTATATGCAGATGAATTTTTTCTGGTTAAATGCTTAAAAAATTATAGATCTATTAAATTTTTTTTATCTACATTACCATTAAATATCGAAATGCTATTTATCGATTTAAACGTACAATAATTTAACGAAAAAAAATTAACTTTGCGTATATAAACTTACCGAACTGACGAGATTGATGTCCACAAAATTTTTGGCTTCCGATTTCGATAAATTTTTTAGTTTTTGCGGTTGAAGCAGATGAAAGATGAGAGTGTTTTATTTATCTATATTGAAGTAAATAGATAAGAAAAGTAGGAAGTGATTGATTTTTATTTGTTTAGTCAAAGGGTATTGATGTCTTTTTAAAAAAATCAACTTTTGTAATTGTATAATGTATTAAAATGTATTTTTGTCTTTTAACATTAGATAGACTATTTTCATAATATCTGAAGTCAATGTGAAATTTAGATGATTTGATTGAGTCAATTTTAAAAGTACTCCCATCACTAGTCGGGTCAAGGGGTGGGTCCCACGTAATTCAAAATTCAAAACCATAGGAGGGAAACATGTGCTGTCTAGGAGGAGCCGTTGCAGGAGGAAGAGAAGGCAGTTGAAAACAGATGCTCTCTCCAATTCTAGATTTGACATAAAAGTATCCACCATTTCTTCATTATCAATTCAAAACCTGTAGAATTACTGTAGGGTTTTTGATCAATTTCATCAAGAATCAGCAGTCGAGGGTTACTGCGGAATTTGTGGTCGATTCAATTGAATCATCCATCATCAAATAATGGAAAAGTACGAGAAACTGGAGAAGGTAGGAGAAGGGACATATGGGAAGGTATACAAGGCTAAGGACAAGGCAACTGGGCAGCTTGTTGCCCTAAAGAAAACCCGTCTCGAGATGGACGAGGAGGGTGTTCCCCCAACAGCCCTCCGCGAGATCTCCCTACTTCAAATGCTCTCTCATTGTCTCTATGTGGTGCGCCTCATCTGTGTCGAGCACGTTGATAAGAATGGAAAACCCGTCCTCTACCTCGTATTTGAGTATCTTGATACTGATCTCAAGAAGTTTATTGACACTTTCCGTAAAGGCCCTAACGCTCGACCGTTGCCGCCTAATCTCATCCAGAGTTTTCTTTACCAGCTTTGCAAGGGGGTGGCACACTGCCACAGTCATGGTGTCCTCCATCGGGATCTCAAACCCCAGAATCTACTTGTTGATAAGGAAAAAGGGATCCTCAAGATTGCGGATCTTGGGCTAGGCAGGGCTTTCACTGTTCCCCTCAAGAGCTATACCCACGAGGTGTTTACATTTTTTCTTTAATCGAGTTTCCTTATGATTGATTGTGCAAAATAAATATATTACCATAATTCACCCATCAAATCTGTTTTTCCTTTCTTTTTCCACTTTTTTTTTATTATTATTATTTTTTTTATTATGTGCAGATTGTTACTCTCTGGTACAGAGCTCCTGAAGTTCTTCTGGGGTCCACTCATTATTCTACGGGTGTTGATATGTGGTCTGTTGGCTGTATTTTTGGTGAGAACTGGATTCTTCCTCCGGATATAAGATTTCTTGGGGAATTTAGTTATCCATCTTCATTTCGCCCTTTTGTTGTTCAAATTTTAGATACTCTGCATTTGTTAATCTCAAAGAAGCAGATTTGTAGATTTGATAAAAGTAATCGTACATTTTGTTTTGAATTCTGATTTTTATTGCAGTAAGTCTTTGTAAAGATAACAGCCACTCAGTAGTTACAGTATCACGCTCTTAAATCAGTGGATAACTAAAATTGTTTTCCGTTTTTTTTGACTTCGCAGCTGAGATGGCAAGAAGACAGGCTTTATTTCCTGGTGATTCTGAGTTCCAGCAACTGCTCCACATATTTAGGTATAATTTAATCCTCGCCGTAGTCGATGGTTATGCAGAGTCCTCTGCTTCTGATTGGCGATATTATATTTTAAATCTAAGGATTGGTTTGGCAGTTGAATCAATTCATTCCCTGTTGCATTTCTTTGTACGTCGATTATCATAAAGTTTTGGTCATTCTAGGTTAAGTGAATTAATGAACATAGAATTAAGATATTGTTCTTATTTGCTTAGGTAAAACTTAAGTGCTAAACTATCAAACTAAGATGAGTGCTTGGTACAATATTATCAGACATAGATTTTGTTTGTAAATTAGGATAGTGTAAATATAATCGGTGTGCAATGGTTGAAGTTTATATTTTTGAATTTCTGAGTAAGGCCTTTCAATCGAATTTACCCATGTCAGTTGTTGCTTAATTTGTGAGCATGACATATTTCTTCTCACAAATTACTATGACTTGTTCATGGAAGGTTGTTGGGAACACCAACAGAGAAACAGTGGCCTGGAGTTAGTTCACTGAGGGATTGGCATGTGTACCCACAATGGGAACCACAAAACTTGGCTTGTTCTGTTCCATCACTGGAACCCGATGGAGTTGACCTTCTATCAGTAAGTTTTTAAGCTCAAGCTTCTGTTCATATATCTAAGCTTCAGGTGACTGCTCATGTTGTAATAAGTCTATTTAACATTCAAATTTTTGCTGTCAATTGCCAGTTCAGATTGATAACAGTTATATAGCGCTACTATCGATATGGCGCCAAGCATATGAATCATGATTATTACTGCATACATATGATCATGTTTAGATATTCATTTTCTTCAGTATACAACAATCCTTCAGTTATCCTGTTGAAGGGGAGAAGTATGCTATTCTGTTTCTAGAGGAAAACATAGTTTGTTTAGTCTATTGGCGTAATTCTGTTCAAAATTTTTTTGCTGAAATTGAGACACTAATGTTTATCTTTGATTAATGCAGAAAATGCTCATGTATGATCCAGCTGAAAGAATTTCTGCTAAAGTTGCTATGGACCATCCCTACTTCAATGGCTTGGATAAAACTCAATTCTGAAGTTGATGCCAGAGATGTTTAGCAGAAGGACGAAGCCACCATCGTTGAAGGATGGCATCATCTTGTTGATTTGAGCTTTCTTGCGTATAACTGATTGACTTTTACATTGCATTAATCTCATCAACAATGCTGTACTCTTGAGGAATTTATTGTTGTTCTTATATTGTCATTTTAGCTGATTTGGTCAAAATCCTGGTAATAGTTCCCATGGAAAGTGCTAGATGTATACACACTTTTGTACAAAATGATTTACTTACACTCACAATAGGAGGGTTAGGGGTCACAGGTTGGGATTTTTTATTTCACGTGGGGTCTATGTGTATGTGAGAGTGAGTAAAATATTGAGTTGTGCTATTTTATAGATCCATTTGCACAGGGCTTGTACAGATGCACATACATGGAGGTGGACCCCACATATGGAGTCCACTTCCATGTGAGAGCCCCTATAAAGATCCTGTGCAAAGGAGTCTGTGCAGGAGTTTTATTCCGTAAAACATTTTGAAAAAATGTGTGAATACACGTATCTTTATCCTAGTTCCTATACTATAGTACAATAAAGTATACTCCTGATTCAACCTTTCTTTAAGTTACATTTTTCAAGACTTATTTTTAACTATACATTTTTCGGTAAAATAACTTTTTAACAATATATTCTCCAAAAAATTACTATTTCCGTCCCATTTATATAGGTTGTTTTTGTTTTTCACGTGGATCAAAAAATCTTTTTAATGTTATTAAAAAAAATTTTGCCAATTTTTTTTTAATTTATCTTTTTTTATATTTATACAATTTCAATATTAAGTGAAAAAAATTTGTTATAACGAGGCAAATTTAAAAAAGGTATATTATTAAATGAACAAAACATTCTAAACAAATAAATAATACTACATAATTAGGACAAAAAAATAAGAAAAGTCAGTGTACATAAATGGGATGGAATATATAGTTTCCCCAAAATGGGGCATAAGGATCAAGGCTGTCCACAACCTTTTCTTTGATATAGTCTGTTGCGTTTTCATCCATAACTATCAAAAATTATCATTTAAGTGCCCAATCATTGACCATTGTTGCACTGGTAATTTGAAAGATGGTTTCTATCCAAATTGTTGTTAAAATGATGAAAAAGAAGGGAGGAAAAAAATTTCTGTCTTTTCAGGTCATTATTGGAGTGCAGGTCACGGAAGCTTTTTTTTTTTTTTTTTTATTGCTTTTGCTTTCAGTATTTTTATTTTTTTATGTCATTTTAGATGCTTTATTCCTACAAAAGAAGAATATGCTCGTCTTTATTGCCTTTGTACGTTTTTGTTTTTTTTTTTGTTTGTTTTTTTTTTTTTTTTAATTTTCGAATTCAGTACTTTACAAAATTATAATTACTTGTAGATCTTGTGTTCGCTTCTAATTTGACTTGTACACCTTTTCTTAGCTTATAAAAATGAATAATAATATTTAATTTTATTGAGGTTATAACTTTTATTTAGATAACGTTAATATGACATTAAATGATAGATAAAATTAAATGAGTTATTTAATTTCATATTTCATTAAAAAACTTATCATTTTTGCCTTGTTTGAGAACCATTATTTTCTTAAAAATAAAAAATATGATCGTTATCTATCACATCAAGTCATCATATTTGACTTTTTATTTCATGTATAGAGCTCATAACGATTATATTTTTTAAGAAAATGGTTGTTGGCCAGGCCAAAAAATAGGCCCAAAGCCAGGGTGCCGAGGTGTTTTCACCTCGGCCCTTGGATCTGAAATTTAAAAAAAAAAATGTATGAGATCGGCATCACCTCAGCCCCCTGTCCCTGAATCGATTACTAAGTCGGGCTCAGTAGCAGAGTTCTATTTTTCATTTTTATTTTTACAATAATGTGGTTCAATCAGATGATTAGCGTCATCTAAACTCAAATTATAACCCATGGTAGAGTTAAACGTTTCGGTAATCATTGAACTTTGGGTCACATCTTTGTCCAAGTAGTGGAAATTTTGAAAAGCTGTGATTCTGGCCCCCCAGGGCACATTCAAGTTGGTGGAACAATCACATTGGTGGGCTCTGGAATCAAGCGTGGGGAGTTCGATTCCTGGTGGGAACCTTTGATCCAATAAAGAAGGAATTATTGGTGGATTAATCACCATGGAGGAGGCTTCCTTTGGGGAAGGAGTAAAAGCCATGTGGGAACCTGGGAACCAACAAGGGCACATCCTGCGATTTACCTCCCTGAACAGCTGAGGGGTCGGAGGTTCAAGGACGAGGATATAGTCTTGCGCAAGTTGGGACACCTCGTTAAAATAAAAAAAAAAAAAAAAAAAAAAAAAAAAAAAAAAAAACTGTGATTCTGTAAAGCCCTCTGAAAGGAAGCGTTCATGTGGCAGACAGAACTTCGATATGGCACAAAATTTGAGTGAAATGTTTTAATAATCATTGAATTCAGCTTGCGTCTTCTCTTACCCAATGAACTTTGAAAATAAAGACCCAAAATACTCTGTAATTTTTCTTTAATTTTTTATTTCAATAAATAATTATGAGTGAACATTTAAAAGATTAACCATTTAAAACATGAGTATTGCTATCGATTCGCATGGAATACGAACTCCATGTAAGGTGATACTAATGGAAAGTCCAATAAAGTGAGTTATGCTCACATATTTAGTTTATTTCATGCTCCATCAATTTTCATGTCACGTCTGGATGGCCTTTATTATGGACATGTAGATTATTTTTGAAATGGGTTGTGCTGTGTATATACACGGGAGGAGGTTCCCCTCTAAAACACACACAATACGAGGTGAATAGGGTTCTTTTTGCAATTTTTATTTATATGGAGCTCACTCTTGTAAGTATTCTAGAGGGATTATGTGAACCCCTTTCCTGTACACAAGACTAATTGTTTTGAAATAAAGAGTTTATGAAATTAATAACGAGCATGTAAAAATATTTCTAAAAATCATCATTTAATTAAATTAGATATAAAGTCATGGTCAAAATATTGTTGAATAGAAAGTTCTTCATGCACTAAATTTAATGGATTATTAGCACACAACATTCGTCCGTTTGAAATTCATTGTGCAAAACATCCATATATATATATATATATATATATATATTCTTCATGCACTAAATTTAATGGATTATTAGCACACAACATTCGTCCGTTTGAAGTTCATTGTGCAAAACATCCATATATATATATATATTACCTTTCATTGTGAAAATCATTCTTTTCATTAATTTTCATCCAATTTCTCAAAATAATTGTGAGATGACAAAGGTACCATTCTATTTATATAAAATAAAATGAAAAGAAAAGAAAAAACAAAGACTAATTGCAATCATACTCTCAATTTTTAATAAAGTGCAAGCGAATCCCAAATAAATTATTAAAATTATGGTTCGATTATATGTTTGCCTTCGACTGGTGGTGGTGATAGGTGCGAAAGTATACTTCAATTCTTGTACAGTTTCAATTGTATGTTGGGTGAAGGTCGGAACTTAAATTGTACGTTGGTTTTGGATTCGACTATATGTTTGCCTTCGAAGTTCGATCCGGTCAAGATGAGGATGGTACAGATTTCACGTTTTACTTTGACATTGGGCATCTGAAGGATTCGACTCCAGTGGAGGCAAGAGAAAGATGGGTTGACTCTTCATCTTGTGGAAAATTGTAGAATTATGCCAATGGAACTAGCTGGAGTGGACGATCCTTTAATTATGAGGAAGTTTGGGACCGTGGAGCCGGATAATTACGGGTATAAAGGCTTTTCTGGTTACTTTGCAAGAAAAAATTGAAGCAGGAAGGAACCTGTATGTCTCAACAAAAATATATATTTTGGTGCTTAATGTTTGATAATTGTGAATTTGTGAGCGTTATAATATTTGGCTTCTTGCTCTAATTTTTAAGGTTTTAGGGCAAGAAAGTGATGGAGTTTCTTGGTCTATTATCATGGTGGTGGTCGTCGTGGGTGTGAGTAGAGGCGGTGCCCTATAAGCAAAAACCGTCAAACCGGAAAATAGAACCTAAATCGCATTCTAGAAATCATCAGTTTAGTGCCACGTGAACCCGGTCAACGAAATGGTTTTGAACTAAATCAAACTGGTCAAAGTGGTTTGGTTTATGTTTGAGATAACCAAATCGAACCGACAAAAAAAATATAAAAATAAAAAAATGAAAAAATGAAATTTTTTGAAAATTCATCCAAATATGTAAAATTCAATAGTTTTGTCATTTGTGGGTACTTTTGTCAATTTATAATTTTCTAATACAGATATATTATTATTATCCAATAATCCTAAATTATATCTAATAATTTTAAGACTAACATAATATATGAAAAACAATTTTTCTCTTCAGAATTTAGATGAATTTCAGCCGACACCCAACACAATTTTAAACCATTGGCACCACACACTTCTTTTTCCAATTTTTTAGGTCTCTTCAAAGTTGAATTGAAGTTCATTATACCAAATCGGAGACAAAGAGATCCTAAACTTTTGGTGATAATATTTGCTACAAATAAAGTTTTAGATCAATAATTTTTTTGGAGCAAATTAAGGTAAGAATCTAAAATTAAATGTGTTTCGTTACATCATAGAAACGTAAACTTGTGTAATTGTTATATTTAGATATTATAAACAATTACTTTATTATTATAGTTGGTTATTCTCTTTGTCTAATCAGTATCCTTTTTTAAGATATGATGATCACGAGATTTTGTTGGACATCATTATATTTTTTGGGCATTATATCTAGTTTAGTAGACTTGTATTGTAATATTATTGTATCGTCGTTAGCATAAAAAAGGTGAATAAAAATTTAAAAAACTATGTTTTAGTTTATTGTGATTTCACTTTGATTTAATTCGTATTTAAATTTATAGTAGATATATTTAGCCCCTATTTGAGCCATATTTACCATATCATCATAATGAGAAAATTGATCGTTGGAGAGGAGACTGGGTCCCACGCATGAAACAGCAGGTCAATAAAGGCTGTTAGACTTGTGGAATAACGGTCCAAATTTTCATTTTTTTGTTCGAAAATTTTGGTTCAAACAAAGGCTTAGTTTGTTTTAGATTTATTGATAGTAAGATATAAATATATATTGAATTAATGACATAAAAGTAGACATGCAAAAAAATATATGTCGAAACCGACAGTTTAAAATTGGACCAAACCGTTAGTTTAGATTTGAGTTTTTTTTTTCAAACCGTTCAAAATAATT